ACTACAAACCGGGTGGAGGCTGGGTGGAACCAGTTAAAGCAGCTACTGGGGAAAAAAACTAGCATCGACCGATGCGTTCGACTGATTATTCAGCACCAACTCAGTGTTTTGCGTGATTTTTCGACGGCGATAAATCTGTTTGATGTGTGCCCTCCTGTGACGGACCCGCTACCGGCTGCGTTGCACCGCATCGCTACAGTTCTGAGCTCATACACGCTGAAGAAGGTGCAACAGCAACGGGAGAGCTACAAGCTGAATGGTGCGAATTGGGACTGGAGTTGTGAGCAGGACGGAGGTCAGGACGTCTTCACAATGGCTACTTCGGAAGGCAGCTGTGTTCGAGTGACATGGCAGACTTCTGGTCAACCCAATTGCGATTGTATTTTCTTGTCGTCGTTACGGCTTCCTTGCAAGCACCTGTGCAGTGTCTTACCAACCTTCAGAAGCGATAATTTTTTTTGAAGTTGCCCAACTTCACGCGTGTTGGTCGATGAAGGAAGCATCGGCAACATTGCCATTTGTAGAGTCGACAATGGGGCATTTACGAAAGGTTACAAGAATTACAGGAAATGCATCACCCACGCCTGCGTCGAGTATCATGCTTGCTTCGAAGAAACGGTTTGCTTTTGTGAAGCTGAAGAAGGGTGAGACCAGTGACGAGACCGTACTCTCTGACTGTGAGAAGTACAACGTGGTCAGAGCGGAAGTATGCCGTTAGTTGACAGTCTTCAGAGCCTCCCGTCTGCTAAGTTCTACGAAACATTTGCCGATCTTCGCGCAGCAATAAGAAGCTTCAAGAAGAAGTGGGGCTTGGACCGAGACTCTCTCTCAGATGCGGGTGAATCGGACGACGAGTCCGATGCGATGGGCCTGGAATACGAGATTGACTGTGAAGGCGTTGGTATCATGAATAACGCGCAGCTTCCCGTTAGTACTGTGGAAGAAGCCGATATTCATGAGCCTCCGGAGGACAACACGAGCTCTCCCGTGATGCAGGGACTCGACGGAGACGATCTGCCGTCGTGTTGCTTAACAAACCCATCCCAGACATCCCTGCCGGACCTGACTATCAGCGAGCAATCACAAGAGGTGTTGCAACAGCAGCCAAATGTTCATTCAGCAACGTCTACAGCATCTCTATTGGCGCAGCCGGGGTTTCTTTTGGAGCGAGCGGGTGCTATAGACAACATGCAAGTTCTGCGATTACCTGAAGCATCCAGTTCACGGTCGAGAAACACTAAAAAGGGCAGCAAGTGGGCAATCGCCGAGTGTCGAACCGATTGTCCTGTTGATCTTGAAGACTTCTTAAAGTGGATTGACACTACGCCTGACGTTGATTACGTCGAAAAAATAGCGTCAAATTACCCGGTTTGTTACAACAAGAGTTTCCTGCTCTCAAGATCTCCAACGGTTCTTCCAAAGAGGGCAAGTGAAGTCATTATTGATGCCAATTTCGTCATTCCAATGAAGTTGTTGGAGCGTGTAAATAGTGCACTACTTCACTGGACTTCAAAGCAGACCGAAACAGAAGATTTAGATCCTTCTTAAGACGATGTGGTTCCAGCGGCATTTGTGGCTTCTGAAATGGGCGGCTTCTCCATGTAAGGTGTGATAGTATGTTTATCTACTTGACGGCTCTGACCTGTGTCTATGGTTATTGTAGGAAATATGTACGACTTGTGAAAAACTATTACGCGTCCATGAAGGCTGTTGATGATTATCGAATGGATCTAGCATGGTTGCGTGGAGGGTGGAGTAGTATGACACCGATGAAGCATCAATTTTTGGAGGAGGCACCGGCGTCACCTGCAGTGTTGTCACGTGAAGTTGCGCAACGTTTTCGCCAGTCGCCATTGTCTCGGACGTTTGTCATATCTTCAGGGCCTGCAGGACGCAGTGTTACTTCAACACTTCGCCACATAGTGGGCAAGTTAGCGAGAAGCAAGCGTCTTAATGACGCCGTGATGGATGCAGCGCTCTGGCATGTGTCAACGTACTGCAAAACCTGCTACGGTATCGACGCCATCTCCGTTACTAACGAGAAGAGATTCGTTCCAGATTTCTCTTTGGCGTCATGCAACTACGTGCTGGTACCTATTCACATGGCTGCCTTCAAGCACTGGATTATTCAAATTGTGAAGATTCAGATGGCCGATCCGGATACGTCCAAGCTCAAGATATGGGTAACTTTCTACGATCTACTAGGCGTGGCGTCTAACTTAGATGTGTGTCAAGCAAAGTGGATATCATTCACGCTTCCACTACTTCAACAATGGTTTGATCGAGATCAAGACAGAGAGAAGTTGCGCAACTGGGTGTCTAATCTGGCGACAACAAAACGCCAGATTAACTCGGGAGACAGCAAAGCAGTTACAACAACTGGGCCAAATGATGATGGTGCAGCGCCCATGACCTCTCCGTGCTCGTTACCTGAAATTGTTGCAGTTCCGGTTACGACCCCAAGCAGGTAGACAGTGTAAGTTGTGGTATTATGTGCATTGCGCAGGTCTATAGCTACGTGACTTGCGTGCGATCGCTGAAGGCACGTAACTCGATTTCAGACAGTGATTTGGCTCAAATGAGACTGCGCCTACTGTGGACAATACTGCATAAGTCAACTGGCGATGCAACTAGAGATAATGAGGCCTGGGCGCAGCTATTAGACATTCGGAAGAAGGTGAAGACAGCGTTCAAGAGCTGCTTAGTACATAATTCATGTATAAATGAATTAAACTATGTCTTCTTTTTACGAATAACATCACTTAATACTGTAAAGAATGAAACATTCACGTTGTGACGGAGCTCCTTTTCTTCTGTTGCTGTCGTCACCGCATCTCTCATATTATCGCCTACAGCTGCCGCAATATCTCCATGAAGCTCCACCAGCGCCACGAGAAGATCCTCCATCTTGTTCAGCTTGAGCTGAAGCTCCTCAAGCTCTGAAATCCGGCTCCATAGAAGCATTGAAGAAGCTTCCTGCGGTTGCTAGCATTCGCTGCTCACGTTTTCAGTGTGCATGGTCTGCGCGGCGTGTCCTCCGGCACCTCGCTCGATGCTCTTGCTCCGTAGCGTTTTTGACTTTGTGTATCTGCGTCGTTTCGCCAACTGAACCGGCAATGACTCCGAGCTTAACCGTGCGAACCGGTTCATTTGGAGGCTGGATCGCATGATATATAACGTGAGTGGTGGTTATATATTATTCGATTTGAGGGGTGCTGATCTCTTAATTTATCGATCCGATTAGACAGGAAAGGTGCTAAGGTGCCGTTACAAAGGTGCATTATTAACGAGAGCGGCTCAACTGGATTTTTGGTCTACTCGGCCCATTAAACCAACCCATCTTGGAAACTTGAAAAATGAACCCACAATACCGGTACGCAAATACCGAAAGTGATTGAATCTTAAACATCTACTGCAGCAACCTGTCTGTCCGTCACACTAAATTGTCGTGCCTGTCACGCTTTTCCGGACAAATCATTGGATAAAATGATTTAAATATTTCTACTGGTTGCCGAGCGCAGCGAAGGTGGCTTTAATTGGTTAAAACTAGATTGTGTTGTTGCATCAATAAATTCATGTGTTTCCCAGTTTACATATGGGGATTTGCACAAGGCTATACATTATGAATATTATACCCGAAGGCGGCATCGTTTAAATATTATATACTTTTTCATAATGCAAGTTGTTATTGATATTTGAATACTACAGTAAACGGAGGGCAGGGTGCTTAGCGTACACGTAAGCAGGCGTGTTGCCGAGGACATGATTTTTTTAAGTATACTACTTAGTAGGATCTGCGTGTTACACTGACTAAAATGATAATTTCAATATATTTACTGTAAAAATATTAGCATTATTAAGTTACCTGACTGTATTGCTAAATCGTATATGTTACATGTACAGCAGTAGCCGGTCGTGTGGACTGGTCGTAAGAACAAAGCTGTGCTTATAAACGTTGTCACTTGATTCACAAAGATAGATAGTTTTAGATTGACGTGTGAACAATACTGTATGTGCTGATGACAATTACTACTGTAAGTGAATTGAACTTGACCATTGTTTTCTACGCGGGTTTTTTAGACAACAACATTCTGATACTTCTTAATAGGTAGACGCGTTGTCGACAAGGGCGTAGAATAAGGTTTTACATGCAGCGGTAAGATAACAGCACAACATGAGAGGTGTCAATTATGGTTACTATAAGTAGGCCCGTAAAGAAACGTTTATCAACTTAAAGCCTAATCTACGTTTAACCATCCTGGAATCATCGTTTAAGTATCAAATAAAAATACCGCCGTCAACAACAACAACAGCAAGGCGTCTTGCGACGCATCGTTATATCCAAAGGCTATAACCATAACAGGCACATATTCGAGTGTCTTATGACTGATTCTGAATCAGCACAAAATGAACACACTTCAATGCATAAAAATATGCTACAGCTTGAATATTTTATTAAATATTCAAATTGTAGCACTTTTTCAAAGTAGCGAGTTTGGTATGCGAAGTGGTTAATACAGTAGTCAGTTTATTACAAGCTTAACCAGGCAGTACAAGCGGGTATTTGATGCAAGCTGGACAGATATTCTTTGTATTGATGCAATTTAGGTTTCAGAAACGGCCCGTGAAATCGAGCACGACGCTGAACTAAATATATTATTTAGCGTTTTTAGACTGGTGGAAGATTAAGGTACAGTGATAGCCAACAACAATAAAGAGACTTTGCCAAGATCACTAGCGTAAGCGTTTATGAGCATGGTAAGTATGTGCTAGGGGTTCAGTCTTTTGTACCGGTAGAAATATATACACGGCTTACTGGGAACTCAGCATTTTGTAGCAAATGAAACGCAGATTTATGAAATCTAAGAAGTCAATTTAGGCACACAGAGGATTTGGACTAATTATCCCGCCGAAGCGAAGCGAAGGCGGGGAGGCAAAAATCTAAAGTAAAATCTAAATTACCGCCGCGTAGCGGCGGCGCTCGGCTAGTATTTTTCAACATGAAGGTCGAAGACGGACATGAGGACGCAAGCGCGATGGTCTCGACGTCCGCGGGCGAGACAGCGCTGTCGGAGATGAATGCAGCGTTTGCCAGCTGCCTGTCGCTGGTATGTCCGCCCGTTCAGTATCCTCCGCATTGCCGGTTTAATCCGGTGCGCGACGCGGCCGACACTGCGGAGATCGAAGCGCGTCTGGAAGAGTTTTTCCTGCACGCTAAGCAGCTTGAGCAGCTGTTCTTGAACGATATGGCAGACACTTTGTCCTCCATGCGTCTCGAATCGGGAGCAGACGCAGAAATTATGGGCGGGACCCAACAACAGAGCGAGCTGGAGCTGGAAATTCTCAACCTGGAGGCGGAGCTGGCGGAGAAGAATGACCTGATCGAGAAATACACGGACGTTGTGCGCGGTTGGGAGGGAAAATTCAAGAGATTGGACCATCGGATGTCGCCAGACAGGGAGTGAAAAGAACAACATATTAACAGAGAGAGGGCGGGTCCAATTGAGAAAGCTAGCTGCATGTTGTGTACTCTTGATATCGTATCTAGCCACACATGCATAGAGAAGCAAGCAGCAGAGGTTACTTAAGCGGTTCCCAAGCCTTAAGCAGCACTGCCGTCTGCTCTGGGCTGCGGACGGCGATGCGCACGATCGTTGGGAGGTTGTAGCCGGGCTTGCCGCTACACACAGGCACGCCGTGCTCCTTTGCCAGCTTACAGGCCTCTTCGGACGTGGCGACCGACTTGGTATCCAGCCAGATCCATGACAGGAAGGGCTTACCGAAGAATTCCCAAGTGGGGAAGCGCTTGGACAGCTGCTCGACGGCGTGGGCGCGCCACTTGGGCGTAACATCCCACGTCTCCTGCATGTACGCGTCGTCCTTGACCACAGCGGACACGAAGGCCAGCGCCATGGAGTTAACGGACCACGGCACTTGCTTGCGTTTGATCTCAGCAGCGTGCTGAGGCGTGGGAGCGACGACGCTGCCGATACGCAGACCCGTGCAAGACCAGATCTTAGTCCAACTGGTCATGACCCACACGTTGATGCGGCGGGTCTCGCTGAGCTGCTTGACCCACTCGCGCTGGTGGATGAGAGAGTCCTCACGCCACTTAGGGCCCACCCACGGCTGCATACTCTCGTCAATGATGATAGTGTGGTTGTCGGGGCAGTTGGTCTCGATGTAGCTCTTCATCTCGTCTACATTCATGTAGTCGCCCGTGGGGTTAGTGGGGTTCACGAGACACGTCAACGCTGCCTTGGGATCATTCCAAGCGAGCGTTTCGCGCCCGTCAGCTTTGCTAGAGCGCTCGTACTCCTTGTACTGCGTCACTGTGCCTCCAGGACGCCAGCCGCCAGGCTGCACGCTGCGGATCACCAGATCGATGAGTTCACTGGCTCCGTTGCCCATAAGTAGCAAAGGCAGGTTCTGCTGCCAGTTCTCAGGCCATAGGAACTCAGCCAAGTGACTGATAGCAGGCTGGAAGTCGGCGGGCGGGTAGTGGTGCACAGTGCTCATCGCCTGCGTCGCCGTCTCCAGCGCCTTCTTGGGCGTACCCAGCGCGTTAGTGGTCACGCTAAAGTCCTCAGCGAAGTTGGACAGGAACTTCCAGTCCTGTCCACCATGGAATGTCTGCGTGGCCGAGTCCCACACGGCGGGAGCAGAGGAAGAAGAGGAAGCCATTGGATGATCCCTTGGCTACTCGGGGAAGCAAAGGGCAAAGTGACGTACCGGTAGCCAAAAGATGTCCCCGTGATAGTGACTTGTGCCGATTTAAGAATAGTGACTAGCTGAGTTTTTCTGCTCTGCCACCAGTGCAGGTCCAAGTCGCAGGTCAACGGGATCTTCCGACAGTCCACTTCTGCCTCAACGTGGACAGCGTCTCCGCTTTAAGCGGATGCCATCTTGTCGATAAGAGTCTCTCCGATCTGTCTAGTGCCACAAATAGCAGTCAAGAGAGAGAAATAATTTAACGCGATGCGATCTCCGAAAGCCGACGCGGCCACCGAATTGACGCCGCTAATCGGCGGTCCCAATGGCTCGCGCTCCAACTCGGGCTCAGGCGCGCCGCTGTTGTCTCCAAGCTACGCGGCGTCGTCTCCGTCGTCCTCCGCCTTCTCGCCCTTCAGACTCACTGAAGAACTCGAGGACCAGAAAGAGTCTCTACCGCGTACGGGCAACCTGTCGGAGTTGCTGTCCCAGCACGAAGATGACGACCCCCAGAGCGAGGATGACGAGGTCACAGAGAGCCAATACGCGTACTTTGCATCCCCCGCCAAGGTGCTGGGCTCAGCCTGTGTGAAAGGCGACTATTTCCAGGCTCAAAGTGCCGTGGAGATGGCCATCAGCAAGGCCGTCCAAGCTGCGGAGCGACAGGAACAGATGCAGGAGGAGAAACGAACCGAGCGAGCCGTCACTGAAGCGACGAGGCGACGTGTGGCCGAGAGTGTGTTCCGTCTCTTGACGGTGCATGAAGCCCGTCATCAGATGAACTCTCTGCATCTCGCCGTGCTGTACGAACACCCGACGCTAGTGGCGTATCTGGTGTCGGTCGCCAGGAAGTATCTGCCAAGAGAGCGAGACACGCTGTTGAAGGTCAAGAGACATATTCATGTAAATCACACCAATGGACACGACGGTGGTCCCGAGTGTGCGTCGGATCGCGAAGAGTTGGAGGAAGAGACCAATAGCAATGCCAGCACCGAGACCCAGGAACGCGAGCACGAGGACGTTGGGTGTGGCACCCTACAGGATTTCCTTGACAGTCGCTGTGGAGACTCGAAGCACCGCGCGACGGCCTTGATGCTGTGCACGTCGGTGGCGTGTGCGACCACGTTGATTGACGCTGGCGCGTCGCTAAATGCGACGAACTCGTCCGGGATGACGGCGATGCATTACGCTGCAAGCACGGGCAACGCTGCGTTCGTGAGTCTGCTGGTGTATCGCGGAGCTGACGTCAACCAGACCGACAGTCGTGGCGCTACAGCTCTGCATTGGGCCGTGTTCGAAGGGTTCCAGTACACGGCCATGTTGCTGGTGGGGTACGACGCGAACCAGAAGATTTGCGACTCGGAGAAGCAGACGCCGCTCATGATCGCGAGTGCTCTTGGAGACGCCTTTCTCGCCAAGCAGCTGGTCGTGGAAGGAGCGCCTGTACATGCCAAGGACAAACACGGGCGGACGGCGATGGACATCGCTCGACAGGGAGCCCACTTTGACACGGCGAGTGCGTTAAAAGCCGGTGCGTCGGATCGATTGGTGGCCCTGGGCGTCGCGGAAGGGCGCGTCGGTGCTTTTCTTCTTCGGAATGGTGCTGACGACTGCGACGTTGTCGCTCATCTTTGCCGTGCCGTGTCTGCCACCTCACAGCTCGACCCGAACGATGCGGTACCAGACAGTGGGGCTGGCGTTTCTGACGCTCACGTGTGTCATGTACACGTACGTTTGTAGCAAGGACCCGGGGTATGTGCCTCGCTCCACACGCCCCGCGTACCAAGTCTTGGCGAGGGAAGACAACGCCGTCCCGTGTCCGACGTGCGTCGCCCGGAAGCCTCAGCGCTCGAAGCACTGCTCGGCCTGTCGACGCTGCGTGTACCGGTTCGACCACCACTGTCCGTGGATTAACAACTGTGTGGGTCTTGGCAACCACCGCAGCTTCCTCATCTTCCTGGTCACTCTGTCGAGCTTTTGCCTCGCTATCGGCTCCATATCACTGAGCATTCTACTCGGTCACCTCCCGCTGCATCCGCCTGCGTCTAGTGTTGAGGACTCTGCTGTGTGGCCGTGGAGGTGGCTGCAACCGCCTGAGTGGGCGATGGCTGGAGATATACACCCACACTCGGAGACATCGTCGCTACTGCTGCATGGGATCCACGGGTTCCTACTGGTCTGTGCGACGGTGTTCGGCTTGCCCACGGCCACGTTGCTGCTGATCCAGCTGCGTAACGTGAGTCGTAATCTGACCACCAACGAAGTATTCAACAAGGACAAGTATCCGTATTTGAAGACACCACTGGACGAGTTCTACAACCCTTTTGACGGCGGCTGTGCTCACAACTTTGCGGAGGTGTGTCGCGGCGACGTCCCGAGTAATGAGGAGGATGAAGACGAGCTCGAGGACAGCAGGAGCTCCGCATTGCAAGAACACGACGTTAGCTCTGTCAGCGAAAGATAAAGCAGTGGGTAACTACAACCTTGTACCCAATTTTGACTCGATGTTCAACCGTACAAGAAGATTCTAATTAAAACAATACAACTACTGTATCGATCTCTCTCTCGACGTTTGGAGGATAATGTTGCCAACCAATTAATCAGACGATATGGCGGCAAGGATGTCCACCTTCGGCACTACCGGTAATACTACGTACTACGTAGTATTACTGGCACTTACTACGTAGTACGTAGTAAGTGCCAGTAATTTTAAATCTCTCTTTTAAATTTACAATTTTAATCGTGAGTCAAAGATAGACCAGATCTAGAAAAATGAGAGCTTTACTCCTCGTAACATTCATTGATCACCTGGCATGTAAGGTAACATTCCTTGTTTAAGTGTCCTATTTCATCTGCTTTTGGGTAGATTGCTGGCGGAGCTGTAGCCTTTGGATGCTTGTATGATTTCCCGTGCGATCTTCTTCTCTTCCTTGAGTTGCTGCAGTTTCTCTCGCTGACGAGCATTGTGAAATGGCGTCATGGCGCTTAGTTTGTACACGACGACGCAGCTCTTCCTCTTCACGCTGTATCTTTCACTCGGCCTCCTCCGCCAGCTTGAACTCCTGGTCGATTATAAATAGCTTGGACTTCTGCTTGTCGAGATCCACGATTCGACCACGTTGATCGATGAGTCCAAGCTCGTTCAGATGGCTCTGCAGCGGCCGACTTTCGAAGTGGTGACGCAAGTTGCGGTCCAACAGCGCGTTGTACTGCGGCAGACGATCCTGATGCACGCCCGACAAGTTGAAGCCGCTCTCGCGCTGACGGAGATACTCGTCGCTTCTCTTCTTTGACATGGTCATAATCTCGCTCGCGGTCTTGTGCGCTCTACGTTTCGCGACTGAACGTCGCTCTACTTCTGCGTCATAAGACCCAGCACCTGGTCCGAAAATAACCCATGCAACGTTCACTTCACAGTTGGAATAGCTGCAACCGACACCGCCATCCAGTACGACGCGTTCAGACGCTCCCATGGCTTCCAGCTATTCATCAGACGCTCGTTGGTGGACTGGCGGACTTCAAATCGGAACAAGTAGTCGACATTTTGATTCGTGAGTTTGTCCAGCATGTCTGTGATAGTTTGAACCTCGGCGGCGTCACTCGCTGTAGCATCCAGACCGCCAGCTACTTGAAGCAAGGCCTGCATTGATAGTAATACTTCTCGCGTAAGATACACCGTCCGCAATGCCGTGTCATCTGTCCCCATGTTCACACACGCGAAGGCTTCCACACCACTCGGAAACTTGAATCGATTTGGCCCAATCAGCGGCATCATCTTGACAACGCGTGCGTCCCAATACACAGAGTTGGACGAGTCAGCAACTGTAGCGTCTTCACCTTGTTCGTGAGCCTGAAGATCTTGAGTAAGTCGTTCCTGTTCCACCACCTCGACATGCTCGTTACATTCCTGCGAGGGCACAAAGTACATTCGTAAGATATCTCGCTCCACATATTTCTTCAGTTGAATGAGTTCTTCAGCGAAACTGGTGGCGAGTTGCGTAGAGCTGCGTGTTTCGCGTTGAAGAAGCTGAAAATGGTTCCAGAAAGGTGATCTCTTCGAGGGATACGACACAATCTGCGTGCTTTCAACCAAGACGCAGTCTAGAACACGCAGTTGCTCGTCGTAGTGCGACACTTCCAGTCCACTTAGGCACAACACTGCGCCTTCTTTCCAGATATTCTTGCTGCCTCGACGGAAGACGAACGAGGACGACGCTGAGCGCTTCAAAGGACTATTGCTTTTCTTTTTCGACGTACTCACTTCCATGCCAGATACACGAATACTCATCAAGTGGCAGCTTTGGTCCGTCACGAAGACGTGCTCGACATATCGAGATTCTTGTGGCTTTAGCTCGGGATCAAGCAGCGAAACGTCTGCTTGTGTCTTTCTCGCGCTGGTGACTTCCTGTGTTTCTCGAGTTGCTGCAAGCACAACACAGACACAAACATCGATCGTTGGTCTCCGTTCGTTCCTACGACCATTAGTTCCATCTTCGAAATTGGCTCGATAGTCCGTTGTCGCTTGTTGAACATCGACGCACACACGTCGTTGTGTAATTTCTGCATCGTTCTTGGCTAAGTCTTCACGGACTTCTTCAAAACTGCTATGCTTCGTCGAGCTCAGTCGCAGAAAAGCATCCTGGCCACGTCCGCCGTCGAGTTTCCAATTCACAGTCAAACTGCTGGCGTAATACTCGAGTCCTTCTCTTAGTCCACCGGATAGTAAGTCCTCGTTAGGCCGCCAGATCGTCAGGATACCGCAACCAATTCCCTGTCTGTCACTAGAAGAACTGTGTGTGCATTCCACGTCCACTTTGATAAAAGGAATGGGTAACGGCACATCGATCTGATCGTCACCAGACCATTCATCTCTGTCCTCGTGTTGATGTTTTTTCCGCATGACAGCTTGCGCATACTCGGATCGGAGTTGAAAGTACAGTGGGAGCTGCTCCTCGCATAGAATCCGCGGTCCTAACGTCCATCCCTTGGACTGGAGATGAAGCACAGGAGATATCCGAGTCACTCGAACGCGCACGGATCGAACCATCCCGCCACCGACCTCTAAACTCTTCAAAGGGACGCTCTTTAACAATAAAAATGAGACTTGTGGCTGCTGTTTCCGATGGCGCGAGTTGACGGGGGTCACGTAATGTAGCTTCTCCACTCCTAAGCGCGTGTCGAGCCTCACACGACGCGTGCTGTTGAAGCGTAATTGCAGATATGGCCATTGCGTTAGGTCCTCCGTAGCCATCAAAGGGTTGCTCCACTTCGATTCACGAACGATAGCGCAGTCCAGCGGGTCGATCCCCTCTGTTGAGTTTTGCAACGATGCGTTCCACGCCGCGAGTTTTGTGCCAACGAGACTTGATTTCGCATGAAGTTTCCACAAAATAGCGGCTAGAGGAGCATCAGGCACCGCGTACACGGAATACCAACCGTCAGTGAGCACGAGAGCCATATTCCAACAAGCAGGGAGCTCCTGATCCACGGCGTTATTGCTATCTACAGAAAAAGGGAGCACTGCAGCAACGCACAGAACCATACAGCTGAGTGGGCTTGCGTCTCGTTGAAGGATTTTCTTCACAATAGAGCGTTGCGCATCGTTCAAGTCTCGTTGATACCGGTGAGTCATCTGCTTCAGAACTTGATCTGTCGTTAAATAGTTGGCCAACAAGAGGCGAGAAAAGGATCTCTCCATCGCAGCCAACTTCCACACAATCCATCGGTAATGATTCAAGAACCACACAAACGTCGCCCCCGTCTTTTCCAAAATGTAATTCCCCGCTCGGAGTTGACGGTAAAGTTCACGTGGACCAACGAAGAGTGACGTGTCATAAGAGTCATCTGAAGAGAGAATCAAACCGCCATCTTGTCCAAAACAAACGTTGCCGGCATTTTCTGCTGTGATAGAGTTCAGCAGCTGAAGACGAGGCGGCTCGGAGTCTTCTTCACCGACGTCGTGGAGATCAATGAGAGTTTTCAGCGAGATCTTCATAGATTCCACGTAAACGAAAGGCTGGGCCTTAGAGTCACCGACTCTCTGCGTTTTGCCTCTTGATGCTGTGAAGTAGTCGACGTCTTGAAGGTTTTTGGGGTTGTTTGAACTCGTTCTTTTGCTGGCTGTGGGCGGACGGAACCGCTTCTTCCCAACCATTTTGGAGCGAGGTTCAATCGACGGTTTTAACGCTCTTCTTATCTTCTTTTGCTGCAGTGCAACGTGATTGAAAGATATTCCGGAGTTGAGATGCATCGAGATCGCTGATGGCCGCAATGCTTTTGATACTTCTAGGGCAGCAGTCTTCCGGATAAGACCATTCTCGGGATGAACGTTTTCCTTGTCACCACAGTCAAGTCTTTGAGTTTGGTGATGACGATTGTCAGCTAGCGGATGCACTGAATCTGATAAACGGCGTGAGGGAAATGATACCCCTCGGTGGCGATTTGAATGAGCAAGGTTGTTGGACGTAACACTTTGGTGTGCCAATCTGTCGTGAGAGACGCCAAGCTCGCCAAATACCTTCCTCTCAGTTGTGTCTGGTCTTTGTGATGTCGACGCTGGATCATTGACACGTTCATCAACGATCTCCTCAGAAATAACATGTACCGCGCTGCCACCACTTCTCTCCTTTTTCTCGCGGCGCTTTTCCTCGTCAGCGTGTTGGTGAGGTGTCGATATTGCTACAACCTTACCCGGTCCTGTTGTCAATGACGAGCTTCTGGTGATCGAGCTGTTTACTGCGTTTCCCACGGACTGCTCCACCTCTCGCACTATCGGAACGTCAACACCACAGGAGATACTGGTAACAGACCGGGAATTTAAACCAGTACAAGCATCCTGGTTATGATCATCATACACGACGACACCAAGCTTTCCATTCGTCTGAATAGTAAACGGTGCCAATCCTTCGGAACCATCATCACACATCTGCCTCTCGTACGCATCCAGCTTCGCCTTCGAGATAGACACCTGCTTCCCAGACCCCGTGGAGAACAAACTTGCCACCAGTCCCGTACCAGCCTCGCCACCACGCCCAGCACCAACGACATCCGGGCCGGGACCAGTGCGACCACCGGTCGACCCCATCTTCGTACCTGAACCAAGCTGCTTCACTTGGCCGTCCGTTCGGGAGCTCGATGGTGCCAACACCTCGGATTCGTCCTCGCACATCTGCCTCTCGTACGCGTCCAGCTTCGCCTTCGAGATAGACACCTGCTTCCCAGACCCCGTGGAGAACAAACTTGCCACCAGTCCCGTACCAGCCTCGTCACCACGCCCAGCACCAACGACATCCGGGCCGGGACCAGTGCGACCACCGGCCGACCCCATCTTCGTACCTGAACCAAGCTGCTTCACTTGGCCGTCCGTTCGGGAGCTCGATGGTGCCAACACCTCGGATTCGTCCTCGCACATCTGCCTCTCGTACGCATCCAGCTTCGCCTTCGAGATAGACACCTGCTTCCCAGACCCCGTGGAGAACAAACTTGCCACCAGTCCCGTACCAGCCTCGCCACCACGCCCAGCACCAACGACATCCGGGCCGGGACCAGTGCGACCACCGGCCGACCCCATCTTCGTACCTGAACCAAGCTGCTTCACTTGGCCGTCCGTTCGGGAGCTCGATGGTGCCAACACCTCGGATTCGTCCTCGCACATCTGCCTCTCGTACGCATCCAGCTTCGCCTTCGAGATAGACACCTGCTTCCCAGACCCCGTGAAGAACAAGCTTGCCACCAGTCCCGTACCAGCCTCGTCACCACGCCCAGCACCAACGACATCCGGGCCGGGACCAGTGCGACCACCGGTCGACCCCATCTTCGTACCTGAACCAAGCTGCTTCACTTGGCCGTCCGTTCGGGAGCTCGATGGTGCCAACACCTCGGATTCGTCATCGCACATCTGCCTCTCGTACGCATCCAGCTTCGCCTTCGAGATAGACACCTGCTTCCCAGACCCCGTGGAGAACAAACTTGCCACCAGTCCCGTACCAGCCTCGTCACCACGCCCAGCACCAACGACATCCGGGCCGGGACCAGTGCGACCACCGGCCGACCCCATCTTCGTACCTGAATCAAGCTGCCTCTTTTGGCCGTCCTTTCGGGAGCTTGTCGGTGCCATACTTCAGAAACAAAGCCAGTGTTTGAACCAGCGCCAAGTTGCATCGAACTGCTGTCCGACTGGGTGCCAGATAGCGCGAATTCGTCTTCTGGCGTGTGTGACAAAGGAAAAGGAGGAGGTTCTGGGCGTTGGGATGCTGCTCGCTTAACGCGACGTCGTTTGCGGCTTGGACTGCGGGTCTTGTCTCTGATAGAAGCCTCTTGTCGGCTTCGTACTCGCTGGCTTCTCGACTGCTGTGAATCCTCCAGCGATAGTCGCGCCACCTTCTCGTCCTGGAATATAAGTATTTGCATCGCCGTGTCAAAGTCCTGCTCAAAGACCAGCAGCTCATTGAACGCCTCTCGCCAGGGCAAGGCGTCCGCATCGCTACCGGCCTGCATGTTTGTGCCAGCGAGTGCGGAATTGGCGCGTTAAGTGGACCACATATGTTTTACCATCACTCAGTGAAAATGTAGCCAAATCTTACTTGAAGGGGCGTAAGCAAAGATGCCACAGCCGGTGCTGAACCTGGAGCTAAGCGCAGCAAGCAAAGATGGAGTGGCTCAGAGAGGCGAGGAGACCAAGTTCGACCACGTGATGGCTCTCCAAGAAGAGTCCGTGCAGGTAAGAGCTGCGTTGCCGTCATCGGAATAACAAAAGACTGATCTCTGGCTGTGTAGATCACGTTCCTTCTGCCAGACGACTCAACCATCGCAAGCGAGGTTCGTCTGAAGATTCTCATTTGTGGGCTTAGTGTTCATGTACTTGTATTGACGTTGGATATCTCGGCAGTTTAAGAAAGGCCAGACCATAGCTGTGCTGAAGGTCTTCCTCGAAGACGAGTACGATTTTAAGCAACAGGAAACGGTGAGGCATTGACTGTTATGGTGCTGTTGAGGGTGAAGCAATATGACTAATATTTAATCTTTGTACAGCAATTATGTCTGGATGGCAACGTACTTTTGGACCCTTTCTCCTTGACAGACTTCCCATGCGTCCTGGAGGCATCAGCAATCGAAATTCAAGTGCGACGTACTAAAGCGGAAGCCAAGAGTAGAAAGTGAAATAAGTCAAAGCTCCGCGCCGGTATTACAGTCAAGCTTAAGCCCTTCTGCTTTATGCTTATGGGTTCAAACGTGCTCAAAGCACATAACGGATAAGTTAAATTACCCATTTCTAGATTTTCCCTAGATCGAGCAACATGGAATCACCGTTCCTTCTCTTAAGCCCATTTGCCGTCGCATGGCTATTGGCGACCGTTTCGACGGCGCTGCACCGTAAGCTACGGATTGCCCGTGGCCTGGCACCACATAGCGGGCCACCAGGTGTCTTTCTACTCGGTTGTATGCATGCGTACGCCAAGAACATCAACCGTATCTACAATTTCTTGGTGCGGATCATCGCATTCATCTGGTTAATATCATACTAACGCGTCATGTATTTTTATCGAAGGAGGACCTGTTGAAGCAGTATGGAGGACGCATGAGGATGCCGTGGCATCTCTTCAGCATCTACGTAAGAAAGCCACATATTTTTTTTTCAAAAGTAGCTGAAAATACTAATAATTCCTGCATCTCCCCTTTACAGATCACGGGTCCAAAGGACGTGCAGCACATTCTGTCGACGAACGTCAACAACTATGTGAAGCCTACTACGCCGTCGCTAGACATCCACCCGTTCAAGAACGAATCGTTGAGGAGCTGGAAAGTATGAACCAAAGTACTGACTCAAGTTTCACTCCATTCACGTTTGAAATGGTGAAAACATGTAATACCTTGACGCTGTTGCTTGCGACCGTACCCACCGGTGCCGTATAACCTCAAATGTGCAGTCAAATACGACGGATGGTACATTCGTGCCTGCTGGTGTGGACATGGTCTACAATCCGTGGTGTATGGGTCGCAGTGGCGAGCTCTGGGGTAATGATTCATTATAATTTCGCCCTGAACGCTGGTTGGAGATGCGAATGTCCGACCTTTCAAGCCGGCCCGCGTATATGTCTGGGTATGAAAAAGGCTGTGCTGGAAGTCAAGTTTTTCCTGGCCACCACGCTGCTCCGCTTTCACATCGCAATTGCACCTGGTGAGAAGATTGAGCGGGGCTACGTGCTGAAATCGAACCTAGTCATGGATGGAGGACTACCGGCCGAAGTTTACGGTACTTCAGAATTTAAAATATCGGCCTTTTGTGCAACCGGGCTTGCAACCCTATTTTGATTGGTTAATACTAGTGCTGATGACTGTTGAAGTGCACAAAGCGGTAACTACACACGCAGAGTAGGATGGCCGCCATTCTTACGATCCGCACGGAGGGCCACCAAGATACTTGACACTGAGAGCTGCCTACCATAGACTGAATATACCTTGTCTATCGCTGCGTCACTGGTAAAACCTGAGCGCACCAAGCTAACGACTACGTCCCAGAACACTTTTTGCCTAAAGAAGGCGAATTTGCTCGTACCACGCTCGATTGACGTTAAGTCTTTTGCTGCTTTCAGGTCACCGCATCCGACCTATTATTCGTGCCAAAGTTTGAATAAATATTTCGGCCGCTTTGAAAGTACAGCCGTAGACGCTCGGCGAGTCGGAGGCGGATTAGGTGGCGATGTAGTTATATCCTGCGTAATAACGTCGCGCCGAAAAGATGGCTACATGGCAATTCGCTTAAGTATGCCTGAATCTTCGGTAGCTCTCGTTGGTTCTTTCGCCGTAAATGCATGACTTCGTCCAGCACTTCGGCTGTTTGGCGTCGCCCTGCTCCAATCTGCGAGTGATGGGCTGCTAATTCACGGCGACTACCATCTCCGAGTACAGCGCTACCACGGCATGAACCTCGTGAGCTCTCGCTTGTACTGACTTGTCAAAGTGCTGGGGCTTGTGGCGGTCTTTTCTTTCTTTGCAAACTTCTGGCTTCATCTCACCTGGATTTTGATATCTGGTTCTACCCTAAGTACGTTTGCAGCCTGACTTGCTTTTTGTATCAGATTGGGTTGCAAAACTGACCTTTACCTGCCACCGTGTGAGCAATTCAAGTTGCAATCACCACTCCACCGTCTCGCGCTGTACAAGGCACAATTGTGGTCTATACGCTACGTGCAGCCAATCAGAGATCAGGATATTCAAAAATACAACCTTGGTTGCAGATGGCCGATGATGTTGCAGTTGTTGTGTTGTGTGGCCTGTTCTTGAATGGCCGGCTTATTGTGTCGAAACCTAACCGCAGGTATCGTTAATTAAGCAAAACACATACCTTGCATTGTACCATGGCAGAGGAAACACTGCTTCCCACATACAAACATACAACGCAGGACCTGTGAGAAATTGTACCTGCAAAAAGGTTAGCGAGATGGAAGCACCGTGATGTAGCTCAATTAGTCGACTTCAACATTGAAGTTTCGAAAGTAAAGCATACATACAAGCAAACAAAGCGTCAAGTGCAACCTGTGAAAGGTAGTATATAATATACTACTTTCCACAGGTTAGTTGTAGCGTCTGCAAAAAAGCTGGCAGAATGGAAGTGCAGTGATCAAAGGCCCGCCAACCTGCGAAATATAGTTCGTGCAAAACCGTCCAAGTATCGTATACGCGCGAGTACAACAAAAAATTCGAGTGAATGAACTTGGTATCTCGCTTTGCCCGCCCACGACGGGTTACCACCACAAGAAAGGTGATAAGGCTAGCTCAATCAGCGTGGCGAACACTGCGCCACGGTACAGCGTACGACGCTTCGTGGCCAATGGCCGAGCAAACACGCATGCATGTACACAACAAGAGCACCGTAACTCGCGCATATGCTGAGCGTTGGTACTGTTACGTCATGTTGGTGAGGCAGAAATACGTATCAAAGACGTGCATGGGCGTAGACAGATCGTCAAGACGCTCCAGCAGCAGAGGAGGGGGCTTCGCAAACGGCGAGGGCACGGTCGCTTTAACAGTGATGAGCACTTTATGCTCGGCGCAACTGCGGCAGCAACATAAAGCAGGGGTTGTCAAACACAGCGCTAGGCTTTCTGGAGCATGGTAGGACGCGTACACGTACCGATTGGTGTATGTCTGGATGTCGACAACATGAGCGTAGACGTCGGCAAACGCTTACATGGTGGCCGATAGTCATTTTGGCTGGTTTTGCAGTATTACGTACAATGTCACCTTGCGCAGTGCACAATCAGAGCGAGGTTGGATGGGTACGCATTGCTGCCGACCGAGGATCAGGTACTGTGCTAATTCTGGGCTGTCATCGCAGAGGTTGTCCACTAACACGTTCAACCCGGTTTCACGAGCGGCATCCTTACTGGCGATGGCGGCGATGCCATGTGCGGCTTGCTCACGCACTATGAAGCATGCACCAGCGCTGTCCCACGCCACTTGACGCACAATCGGTGAACCTTGGTCGCTCTCGAGTTGGAAAATCAACGCTTCGTACTTTTGGAGCAATGCCGAGTCGGACATAACGCAGTCACATTCCCGCAGCGCCGTACCAGGCAGCGCGCTAAGACACAGCTCCATAGTGCACGCAATCTCGCCAACAATATTAAGCGGCCTCGAGATTAATTGAGAGAGCATGAAATCGGGACGTAGTGACAACAATGATGTGGTCGGCAACACGCAATAGTCGATCTCCTTATCAGTAAGAGCGTCCATCGTGTCGATTACGTGAGCGAAACCTACTCCTTCAATTAACGTTGCCGTTGTTCTGGGGTGCCCCACTTGGAGCGGTGGGAACATAATTCGCACTGCAATCTCAGCGAGCGTTCCACGTTGACCGACGTAGCCGACATTCACGATGCCTGATTGACTACCAGCGTGGTGCAGCAGTTCGTTATGCGTGTGCTGTGTGAGAAATCACGAGAAACATCGCTAGTCCGCACAACATTTTTAATCTGACGTTACCCATTGCTGTTTGAACTAACGCTGGGTTGCGTGACCACTTACATCTCCAAAATGTTGCCGGGGCGGCAAATCCTGTTGCCGGAAGCGATCCTCGGTAGCCCGCCACGAAATGATTGTACTGCGGCTGACACCGTAGACAGTAGCGGCTTGTGCAGGTGTCCATGTTCGTGTCACGTCGAGAATATAGAGTTTCTCGTACACCGTGCGGCGACGTCGACATCGTGCCAGATCTACTGAAGTTTCCATCTTCACGCATTAAAAATGACTGCAGTAATCCGAGAAGTTAAATGATTACTAGCAGTCCCACCACCCATCGCCGTCTTCCAGAGAAAAGCTCTGTTAACGTGACTGCTGCCCATTCGTCAAACTGACGCACAGAAGAATTGATAGAATGGGGCTTAGGATGCCAATCGCTAACTGTGTTTCTATTCCCTATCGACGGCTCGTAGATTTAACCCAGCAGCAACTGTCGTCACTGAAGCGAGCCAGAGAAGAGAATCACTCAAGTCAAAATGAGCAACAAGCGAAGCGTGCACGCACGCCCCACCCAAAGTCACCATGGTTATCGTACAAGCAGCTGCAAGCGATCAATGAAACCGGTGCGTTCGAACCATTGAAAACGGCGACGAGTCAACGGATCGAGACGGAAGTCGTGGACAACTTTGGCGATGAGTGCATCGACAGGCGAGCTTGCATTGTTACGGACATCTGGGTTTTTCGCAGAGATGCGTGCAGAATGTCCATCGCAGAGTTACCATTAGCAGCAATGCGGCGAGTTTTGGGGCCTAAAGCATGGACCACGCCCTCAATCCGAGACTACTACAATTGTGGTACGATTGATAAACGACTGGCAGGGATGCTTTTGTCTCCACGCGGGGTGGAGCATACAGAAAATTGCGTCCAAATATGGATGTCGCGTGATGTACTGAGGCATTTACGAGCGCTGGATGCAAAATTAATACTATGCAAAAGCATAAAAGATGAGCTTGCACCACCGCGGATTGCGATCGCAGACTGTTCCGTCGCAGGTACGTTCGGCGAAATTGACGCGATCGCACTGATCGAACGCCAAGCGGTCGGCCTCGTGCAAACACGCAGAATCGTCAAAGTGGTCTACGGCGGGCCTGGTAACGTTTTGCAGAGCCGCTTGATCTCGTGGGACAACCGTCATGCAATAATTGCGAGTAGCGTTCCAAGTGTCCGCACATGTAATGACTTTCGAGTGGTTCTCGCAGGCCCAATGGCGCCGGAGCAAGAATTGGTGGTCGCCAAGCAACACGAATGTAATGACGCACGCGTACATGCGCTTCAAATGTTATTGCGTCGCATTAACCCGCTGAACAAAGACATTGACGAGAACTTCGAGTTTGATAACGTGGCCCAGTCTCGAGATTTTTTCTGCACAAGGATCGGCAAGAATGAAGACAACGCTGGCCTCGTTGCGCGTGCGCGAGCGAGACAGCAAACAGTTGCAGCCTCTTCCGACATTAACAGTGCAGTTGCGGACGAAACCAGTATTCTTCCGACGGAGACCGTGATCATCGTGACAGCAGTGGATGTTAACGAGGATGCATGCCTCTCACGCGCACTAGATGTAATCATGGGCCACTTAACGTATGTTGCGCGCCGATCAACGTCTATCCTCCAGCACAACGATCCCTACTACCTGGAGCGCGTCTATCCACATCTGCTGACGTTCGGAATTGGAGGGCTTTCAAGCTCACGAAGCAATCGATATACCAAACGAGACGTCGTGTTGCATTCCTTGAACGTCTTCTCCAATCGAATCGCGGAAGATGCATTATTTAAAATCAAATGTTCGACTACTTGGCAACGGAACGCGTAAAAACTGGTGTGTTTGTCCGCGTTCGACACAACCCCGATGCTGCAACACATGCCATCCAAATCTCTGCAGAAGAACTTCGTGGAGCAATGGAAGCGCGTGCAGCGATGCGACGCGCAGCACGAACTGAAAATTCGGTCACAACCTCCGAACGTCACGGCCGTGCCAACAACGTACTCCAAGCGATCAATGCGTCGACAGCCAAAAATGTGGGGCAGTAATGAGAAACGTGATGGGTTCCAACGCAAGGTAAACGCGATGGCGTTAATGTACGGAAACCCGTCGATATTTTGGACGCTGACACCGCATTCCGAAGGATCAATTGCGGTCGCGTTCTGGTCGCGATTCGACTTGCCGAACGGCCGTCCCAGGGATCCCGCAGCATGCACGGTCGTAAATATGCCGAGCAGCAGCAGAATGAAACGGCTCACGATGCAAAACACAACGCTACAGGCGCAGTACTTTCAAATGTGCTGTACAATTCTCATCGACGTGATGTTCGGTTGGGACTCGACGGCGAACAAGCCGAAAGCCGAACCTGGGATATTCGGATTTGGGCTCTCCCCAAGGAGAGCTCCGTTTTCTCCTATTGTAATATTTTAAAATAAAATTTCAATACAATTTTTTTGTGTTGTTATGTCCCGTGACGGTTAATTAGCTGTACTAAGCCACACATTACCTGTGCGGTGGTAGCCTTCCGTGCGAAGTACCACGAGCGCCACACATACTCGTCCAAATAGCCATCGAGTGCACTCTTTGTCATACCTCGCATGACTTTGACGTGACGCTTAATGTGGATCTCCCACAGGCTTTCTATAGTGTTTGTATGCGTTTTCGTCTCTGGATCCACGTAGTGTTCTGTATGGTTCACATACTTGTGCGTATAGTTCAAATCCCGAAGAGAAGGATGGTTGGCGAGCGTTCTGATGTGCACGCCGCGCTTAGTCTTTCGCTCGGTGACGTATGTGGCAAACATGTCCGAGTGAATTATTGTTCCTTACAAAAATCAAGTTAATAAATACAATGATTCATATGTCATAAAGTATTGATCATAATATCGTACCCGGGCTAGATAAACTTCCGAATGACGGGAAATAGCTTCTTCTGGGTTCTATCCGCGTCAACAATTCGACCAAACCACTGTCCTGTAGACCGGTCAGCTCCACCAAAGAGCCAATAGTCCGGGAATCGTCGCCCACGATTGTGTTTGCTCTTCTTTTTGAGGCTTGTTTCGTCAATTTCTACAATGTGGCCCACACCACCAATCTACAAGTACCGTAGCCATACATGTTAAGAGCACTAATACACATTTGAACAGCATATGAGCAGTACCTGAAATTGATCACTGAGCAGCTGCTTCGAGCAGAGACAACGTACGTAGCCGTACCAGTCCTCCACCGTAGTCTTCGACACGTCGCTATCTCCGCCGCGTGTGCGTGCGATGCACGCATGCACCATGCATACAGTAGCTTGGGCTAGCGACAGTTTTATCCCAGAAAACCAAGTATTAGTTAATATACTCAAACTTACCTCCCTTCCGTCATTGTGGCATTTTTTTGCGGCAGCACCGCCAGTGTTTCGTCTTCCCGGAGACTCTTAAACGCATCGGGCGCTGGCAGCCTGGACAATACATAGCGCTTTCTAGAAGTCCTGCTTGTTGCCACCACGCTACAGCCCCAACCTCGTCGCTCGTCGCCTCAATGATTGAGGTGAAGGTGAAGTGCTCCACGTTGTGGAGAGCATAGTGATGGCTGGTTGCGCTAGTCATGATACCGAGGGAGGCTGGCAGAGTCTGGTGCGGTGCGAATACTTTGCAAAGGGAGGGAGTAAGCGTGCTGGCTGAACGCGTGGCAGGGAGGGAACGGGGGCATTCTTGCGTTTACATACAAATGGCTAGTAATTTGTTTTTACATACATCGTGTAAATGTCGTCGAAAACGGGGGCGTAACCCTGTTATTTGCCATTTTGAGTCGTGAGCAAATCTTGTGTGACGCACACTGGTCAAATCACAAACTATGAAAATTTCATTTTGAAATATCACAATAGGAGAAAACAGAGCTCTCTTTGAGGAGAGCCCGGATTTGTCGAAACATTTTTCTATGCGCTCGAGCAACAAGGACGTCTACTCGTCCACATCCATGGGGTAATGTGGGTTGCGGGGTTACCGAAGACCAAATCTGATTGGCAAAACCTACTCGCTAATTCAACGATGCGTGTAAGATTTGAAGAGTACTGTGCGTCAATTTTCGCTGCCGAGCTGCCTGTTTTCCGCTCAATCGAAGAGATCAAGTGCCCAACGCCAAATTGCACTGGCAACCTTAATCCACTCAGCATCCTTCCCAAGTTTAAGCATCGTCTAAAGACCGGCACACCCCCGCCCAAAACCGCAGCGTGTAACCAATGTGAACAACAGCTCACTGACACAGATATCGCAAGTCTCGTCATTGAGCGCAAGTGGTGCGAACTCGACGCAGACTGTAAATCGATCAGTACAAGACAAGCAACTAACGCGCTTGGGTTGCGATTCAGCAGGCTTTCTGCACACAAACCTACCGCTCAGCCGACTCCTGCAACACGACCAGGTGCATGCATACGAGCACACGTCATCTTGTGTGAAAGGCACCTCTGGTACAGCTTGCAGATACCATTTTTCCGTAATTTTGAAAAAGCAACACAGCTCACCGATGGTGGCGAAATGAAATACCGACGCAGTGTCGGCAACCAGTGGCTCAACCCATATATACCAATCAGGCGACGTCTACTACATTTTAATATGGACGTACGAGCTCTCTGGTCAGGCAATAGCCTGCAAGCAATACAATATGCGATGCAGTACGCATCTAAACGTCAGAGCACGCTTGACAACATTGATGTGATGGAACTTGCATTGCGACGGCGAGAGGAGCGCGAGGCCGCAGCACCAATGACAAATCAACTGAGATGCAACAAGGCATCAGCCGTCTCATGTCCCTAGCGTACTCCGCATCGTCGGCGATCGAAATCGGAGGGCCGCTTGCGACGGCAATACTTATGGAGGGAGGAGCCGGAAAGTTCAGTTGCAAGTTTGAGCGCTTAGTACTTGTTGAAGGTCTGCATATGATGGTAAATCAAGACATCGAGCTGTCGGTCGTTCGACAAGGCGATCATCTCGTGACGCAGTCATCAATCCGGCATTACATCACACGCCCGAAGTGTCTTGATGAGTACTGCTGATACGATTTTTGCGCATGGTTCAAGCCAAGCACATCCAAATTTGCCGTGCTAGGAGACACCTGCACATTTGCATCCAACAATCCAGACGTTGTCGCTTCACACGCGCGCTTGCACGGCCTTTCTCGAGTTGAGTACCCAAATGTACCAGAGATCATCGGCCCTCGTCTACCAGATGCTCGTCTACTTAAAGACGTCGAACACGGCGACCAATCAGAACTGTACTACCGTGCAACCGCTCTTCTTTACTGTCCGTTCCGACATCCGCGAGACTTTCTTGACGATGAAGGATCAGCACGTCAACATTTCTTTGCAGTGGAACCCAAATGTACAGCCAAAGATCCAACGTTCACTTGAGTTCCATCAGCAACACTATTTTGCACTGGATAAAGCTTGCGCGTTCCGAGCGCAGTAAGCTGCCGAAAGTGAACACAACATATGTACGGATCCAGATGTGCTGGACAGCCGCATTGACCGTGACAGCAGCGCTGCTGCTGCACGGGGTGAAAATTTGTTAGAAGTCGCACCAGACTTGTACGCATGCGCCGCCAACCCGACCAATTTGACTGACGAAGAAGCAGCAGTTTTGGAAAACGCTGCCGACGACAGCGATTGCTCCGCAATAACGTAGAGCTGACTGACTTGCCAGCCCTTGAGATGGCGGACGTCTCGGTGCGATTAGTACCAGTAAGTTTGGGCGAGCTGGACGTGTTTGAACACCAACTAATAGCCGAGGAACCGGACCACAGTTCGACTGTCATTCATGCGCTTCTTAAGACGACTGAGATTACAGTCGAGCTGATCAACGCTACCATCGCCGACTTAACAGCCGGTAATCCTACCGAAACCCCACGTTGGCTGACGATCTGCCACCATTCGCATCGGTACAGAACGTATCCAGCGCATTTGGTCTCAACAAGGAACAACACCTCGCATTTCTACACGTTGCAGCCCCACTGCTCTACAAAATTGCCGACGTCGAGTTGTCGTCGAAGTCAAATTTCAATTGTGATCCGGTAATATGAGAGCTCGCGGCTGGAGGCGATAGAACTATGATAAATGCAATTATTCCGTGTATGCTTTCTCATCGTCTTCTTGTGTCTCACAGTCTCATTCTGATCTTCTCCTTCGACCTCATTGAACTGAAACACCTCAGTCTCGAGATTACGAAGATCTCCTCTTGCGGGATACCCGAGTCACGTACTGCACGACCCACATCCTCCTCGTTTCCGTAGATTTCGGCGGTGTCAATACGGCGGTATCCCAGCTTGAGGCCCGTTAGGTTAATGCGACCGCCGTGATACAGCAGATAACCAGGGATCACGAGGTACACGAGCCAAAAGTAGCTCGAAATCATGAGTCCGGACTGTACGAACAGCGTGATGAGATGCCGAGATGCGTGGAGAAAAAGAGCCGACGAGATGTGTGCACCACATCATTATTGGGATGCGAACCACTTTACATAATCCCACAGCTTGTTGTTAAGAAATCATGTTGTACTGTACTGTTATTAGTCGCACTCTGCGTATATCCAGAGCTTCCCGGGCAGCGCACGGCATTAGTTCCATTTGAAAGCTACTGCGTCAGACATCTAGAGTACCCCCTACAAGTAGATGTTACGTAGTAGCCTTACCAGCTGTTAGTTTGGGTCTAGTATTCCGAGCTGGGCACTTAGAACGTAACAGGATATTTGCATAAGAAAAGGCACCATGAGCTCAAATGTTGAATTGTATTTCTCTTTTTTTCTCCTTTACCCCGTTGGGTACAAATGAAAGTGTTTTATCTTGAAAAGTCGACTGAAACGATGTATGGACTGGAAGGCATACATGCACACATGCATACCGTTATCAAACAGTAAACAAACAAAATACTTAAGTAATTCAGCAGCTGTATTAAAACTAATGTATTTCATTCGTCTACTGTTCGGGTCACAAATAAAAGTAGGCAACTTATTCTACAGGCGAGTTATCGGACTCAGTGAGTACTTTAATGCGTGCAAATGCGATAAAATCTAACGATTCGGAGCGCTTCAGAAATACTTATTTTGTGACTTTAGATTCAAAACAGTAAATATGGTGTAAAGGATCCCACAATTAGTTTCTGGACTACCGGCAGCTCAAGATGTTAGACCAACAATTGTCAGAAAAAGGGTCAATGCCGATGGTCCAAAAATACATGGCCATTGAATTGCGATCTCAAGCACAATCGGCATGCCTCCAGTTTTGTCATCACGGATGGACTCGAGCGATTTTCGTTGCGGACTGATCAAACGATGTCTGGGTCTAGACACAGCCCCAGGAAATCGATGTAAAACCACACCAGCTTTCTTGCAGAATACTCACAGCGACGACATGTTGAACTCAGCACGGAGGGCGTTGGATGTGACAGTAATTGGGCAGTAGGACTTCGTACCTATGTTGAGTGATGTCCGATTTTCGTCATGGGTAGTTTTATTCACGTGGTCAATGTCAGCATCTTCGTAATTTTCAAGTCTCCACTTGTCGAGAATATCTCTCCATACCGGATCACGCCTATGACGCATATTTTCGGTAAGAATGACCACCGAGTTAAGTGAGCGGTACGCTTTTATCCCCCTCACACGATCCAAGTAGTCTATTGAGTGTCTTCGGCGCAACTGGATCACTTCATCGGCAGTGATAAATGCCGGTTGCCCTGCAACGGGCAGCTGCTGAAGCCAACGCCAACTAGAAGTACATGAATTCCACCAAACAATTTTGTCGGGTTACCAAGTATCTCGCGGAGGAACGAATCCATTTTGCCAAGAATACTGACAACACACGTAGATATCTCATCCACGATTAGTAACTTCAATTTTGCAAACCGTTCCCGTTTCTCTTGAGTCGTAGACCATCGTCGTTTGGTATTCACGTACTATCCAAATAATTTGTGAATGGTCTGCTCGTTTGCGGCTTGAGCAGCGACTCCTTGGTACGCACATGTTGCTATCGACTCCTCCGATTTCCACTTCTGGGCAAGAACCTGCAATGCGCCAATAACCCTGCTTTTCCCTGCACCTGGCTTTCCTCCAAGAAATGCTACAATTTGTTCGTTGACGTCATGACCCAGTAAAAGCGATTTCAACAGTTTCTTTCCCACATTAGCAAACATTTTGTGCTGTTTTTCGTTCAGTTGAGTTGCCAGAGATACTTGGTCCAGTAAATGCATATCTGGTGTGTCATGAGTGCGGTATTCATCGTTTAAGACCGGCACCGCTGACTCATAACGTTGCTCCATTACCTCATCGTTTCCAATTGATTGTTGAAGGAGACGTACTCTAGTCGGAAAATCTGGGTATTTAGCCCACAACGTCGAAGCACAGGTTCCCAAACGCAGATGTGATTCTGGAGCAACTAAGCAGTGTAGCTTTTGTTCAACATCTTCGAGAGACATTGATATGTTTGTGACCATCGTATCTGCTAAAGTGGAAACTGCAGCAAGGTCCACACAATCTGTAGATTTTTCGAGGTCCTTGATATACTTTGTAGGCTGTGTTGGGGCCCATACTATCTCGTCCATATCCTCGGGTTCACTTTCGTCAAAATCGCCTTCATCTTCGTCGGCATCCTGCATGTCAAAGCCGGTAGAATCGATTTCACGATCATCATCTAGGCCCGCTTCATAACGAAGGTATCTAGCAGCTTCAGGGTCATCCTGTGATTGAAGCAATTCTCGAGAGGCAAAGTAGTCGGTATTATTTTTTACGAACGTTCGAGCACTTGGTGGAGCTTCCGTTGCCCACCATTGCTAAAACAAATGTACCAAAAGTTTCACCATCTGTATCAAAGTCAGCGCCACAGCGAAAAGGACGAAATAGTGCCATCACAGACTGTTGGTAGCGAAGCAATTCATCCTTTGGGAGGTTAGATCTGCGAACGTCTGGAAGCCGTTTGTGACTGATTATTACAACGCGTTCGGATGTGGACCCAACTATCGTATGTGTACCAAAATGAGGATGCTCTTTCAAAAACGGCACTCCACGTTTGCTATTTTTTCTGCACCAATTTTCAGCAAAGGTCATGAGGTCCACAGATTCTAGTGTTGCTGGCTGAGATATATAGTCCATATGAGGTCCACAGATTCTAGTGTTGCTGGCTGAGATATATAGTCCATATAGTAAATTGAGCTGATTGGTGTCACCTTCGAGGACAATGTCAAGTTGCTCATCTTGCTGGAACAGTGCCTTCAATACTGTTGGGAGCGGTAATTTTACGAGCTCATGTGACGAATACATAACAGTGCCTTTGATGCCGTACAGGCACGCCATCGGTGCGGCGACCTCATGCGGATTCGACAGCGTGCAAGACATAAATTGGATGCGGCGACGTTCCGCGGCAGCTTGAGCTACCGTTTCGTTCGAAAGTACGCGATTTGCCTTATCAAATGCGTGCAAATGAAGCGCCCATGGATTTTCGAGGTTCACTTGGTGTTTGGTCGTATACTTGATAGTATAATATGCTTTTTCGGGACCTGTGTACATGGGATCGATGTATTGGAAACGGTTAACAGGTGAGTAAAAGGGAACATTGACATCCTACCTTCACCGGCGGCTAGAAATTTTATGTCATGCTTGCACTTAAACAACGCGTTGACAATCGGTACGTATGTGTTAGTGTACCCGTTGCCTGGATGGCGTTTCAGCTCGATTCTATTATCCGATGTCCACCGTGTCATTTTACAAGTTTCTTTCGGCATAAACATCCGACAAACCTTTCCGTCGGGGGTCCGTTTAGTAACCTTGAAGCATGAATTTGAATGGAACCAATGATGTTGGTAAGCCAACAACGCACGAGAGCAAATACAGCCTCATTTGACGTCAAATTCGAAGCAGGGGATAACGGTCGCGGGCTAGCAATTATGCTAAATGTTTTCATATCGTCACAGTCGAGCGCATTGTTTTTTTGTAATATTCGATTGGATGTCTTCATGATCAATTGATCAGCCCCATATTTTTCTCCACAGTGATCGCAATAACATGTTGCTCG